GTAACATTGCTGATGGCCCATCACGTAATGACACTAGTTCCTTAACTGTAAAGCCAGTCCCTAATGACCTAGCCCTTTTGGTTGTGAAAAAGCTTCTAAAGAAAATTGAAACATGCGGTTAAGATGGGGAGATGATGTGGCGATGATGCCATTGGTTTTTTCTCTGTGACTTGTGGGGGCGCTGAAGCCCGTTGCTGGAGCAGGCCGATGTAGGCCGTATGCGTTGTTTGCCCACTTTTGGATGCCAGTGGGTTACACAGCCTTCACAGTCCACGAGCACCATGCAGCATGATCGCTGCGACCAGAGACTCCCCATTTTGCGAGAGAAAAAGAGCTGTGCTTTCGACATCTCAGAGGTTCACTGATCATGTGTCCAGCCATGTGCGTTTATTTTATTTTGGGCGTTTTATTTTAGTTTACGTTTACCGTATCTCGGAGGTGTTGTCTTCTTGGCGGCTAGGAACTAAAGTTAAGCATGCGGTCAACAACGTTGATAGCGCATTAAATTTCGTTACGGGAATTTTTTTCAACAAAAAAAATTCAGCCAAGAAGACTTCACCCTGCATGGCCCACTCAACATGTTAACAAAAAACACTGGCCACCAAAAACAAAACTTGACGTTGCAAATTTCCAGAAAGCCTGAATGCATGTTGCTCATTTCAGTTTCGTTTTCAGTGCTGTGATAAAAGAACAAGAACTGAAGCCACCACACTTTTTGCAATGATGTCGTGTAAAATTTGGATCACTGAGCCTGGTTGCATGATTCCATTTTGCCTCGAAGTTTTGTTTTAAGCAGGGAATTGTTTTTGTCCCACCCAAGTGAACTTTCCCGCCCTTATTCCGGCAGTTGTCCTGCCTTGTTACATGTCACCCGAACAGATCGTCACGGTGACCGCCGCCATCTCGATCTTGATGGCGTTCTTACAGCCGGTTCATCCGAGCCTTACCAGAGCTCAGACCCTTCAAGAGCAGCGCATCAGCTCCCTGGACAAGGTCATCACCGGCACAAAGGCCATTTTACAGGCCTGCGGGCACCCCCAGTACCTGGACTCACTCCATGATCTTTGGCATCAAGCCAGCCAGGCATTGTTCCTTCTGGAACACATGTTGTGGCCAAACCAGCCACCAGAAACTCCGCTGTACCTCGTGTTGCCTCGCGAGAGTCGGCCATTGAGTGATTTGATGCTGGATTCCTTCGATGAATTTCATGATACTGTCCTCAACGCAATTCCTGAGGTCCAACAGCTCCAAGAATGGTTTGCAGAACAATACGACGTTGGCGTACACAATGCTTTCAATAACATGCTTACAGATTCTCTCTTGTTGTTCAGAACCGCTGAGGCCCTCATCCGCGTGAAGTTGCGCTTTCGCAACAGGCCCCTGAACCAGAATACCAACCCGATCGATTTGGATGAGGATCCTCAGCCGGCAAACCCTTCGACTCCGTCGGCGGGAGATGATGTGGCGATGATGCCATTGGTTTTTTCTCTGTGACTTGTGGGGGCGCTGAAGCCCGTTGCTGGAGCAGGCCGATGTAGGCCGTATGCGTTGTTTGCCCACTTTTGGATGCCAGTGGGTTACACAGCCTTCACAGTCCACGAGCACCATGCAGCATGATCGCTGCGACCAGAGACTCCCCATTTTGCGAGAGAAAAAGAGCTGTGCTTTCGACATCTCAGAGGCTCACTGATCATGTGTCCAGCCATGTGCGTTTATTTTATTTTGGGCGTTTTATTTTAGTTTACGTTTACCGTATCTCGGAGGTGTTGTCTTCTTGGCGGCTAGGAACTAAAGATAACACGACATGCAAAAGTTTGCGGATTGTGCTGCATGTGCCATGGGTTTGGAAACTAGTCAGGGACAGCCTATTGGTAAAGTCTTTCGCATTGCATGTTCGGATCAAGTACTTGCCACAGGTCTTGGAAAGAGATTTCAGTGTAAGTGTACTCAGGACCACGCTCCATTGAATCAGGTCAACCATTCGATGACGGAAAGATACTCATATAAGTTTGCCAGATTCTATTGTCGTGCTATTGCACTTCGTTGGATTGATCAACAGGAAGAAACATCGTGATTTTGTTTGTCATTGACTGCAGTTTGCATCAGGTTGCATTTCATGTCAGCAGTTTGACTTCAGGAAAGCACAGTTTTCTTTTTCAGCTGAACCGTTCAGTGGAATTTGCATGTTTGCATGGTTCACAGCGGATTCAGGGACATTCGATTGTCAGGCACAGTTTTCAGTGAAGACTTCACTAAGTGAATTCTCAAAGCTTGTCATCAGGAATCAGGTGATGACATCAGTTTAGTTTCAGGAGCCTATCAACTCCGTTGAGAGAGTGCTCGCATCAGGACGCTCACACTCCAGTTGTTTTGTTCTGTTGTGTGTGTGTTTTCTTTTTCGTGTAGCCCGGGCCGGCCGCGCCGCGTTCGCCAGCCATGGATGAGCTTCTCATTGTGGTGCTATTTTCTGCATTGACTGGAGTGATGATTGGATCTTTGGGGACAGTTGTTATATTCTGGCTTTGTGGAGCACTGGAACGTAAGACAGTTATTGAGAAAGTTAGTCCAGAGTTGAGGGATGCGACAATTCAGGCTGAATATACTCAGGCTACATCGGATGAAACGTCGGATTTCAGACAAATGCACAGAGCTCAGACTTCGTCTTCTTATCATTTGTACATTGGAACTGCGGAGAGATGTTATCATCTTGATCGCCGTTGTCGTTATTATCCAGATTGGGACAATGTGAAGAGAGGGCTTACAATTTGTGAAATCTGCCGTATTTCATCTTCGACTTTTGAGATTGGGCAATGTATTTTTGTTTCTGAAGAAGGACAGAAGTTTCATTTGACCCGATTTTGCCGTACTTTCAAGAGTCTGCCAGTGACTGAATATGCAAGGTGCACTGCATGTTGTACACTGGAACATTCTACACAGGTTTTATTCGGAGATCCAGTACCTCGCCAGCGAAGAATTGCTTCGTCAACTTCTTCTATTGCAGGTATGTCAGAGAACTAGATTTTTCTGGATTGTGATGGGACGCCATGACTTTCTGGATTGCATTGCATTGCATTGACTGCACTTCGTGTTGGACGAAGACTCCATACTGACCTCTCATCGAAAGGGGGTGTGAAAATCCTACCTGGTATAGCGCTGAGAGATCAGTGACGTTGCACAGTTTTGATTTCACCAAGTATCGTCTGTGGACGAGCCTATTTCGACGTGGAACGATTGTGAATGGACAGATCGTAGTTTGTAGTTTTGATTTGACCGAATATCATCTGTGGAAGATATACTTTTGAATGTTTTTGGATGCTCTATGAAGCATAGATCATTTTATGACACTTAACGAGCAAAACCGACACTGCGGTTGCACTCGTCTCGTTTTGTAGTTGAGAGTTGTGATGTTTTTGTAGGAAACCGAACATTATTTGAACAGTTTGGAAATATTCACCCCGCTTCGCGTGGGGTGGCCGCCCACACCGCAGGTTTATTTCGGTCCGTGAGAGGGGCTAACGGTGGTTTTCCCCCGTGGGGGCTCCCCAAGCTAAGAAGTTTCACTTCCCCCCCCCCGTGGGGGCTCCCCAAGCTAGGGAATTTTCACTTTTCCCCCCCGTGGGGGCTCCCCAAGCTAGGGAATTTTCACTTTTCCCCCCCGGGGGGGCTCCCCAAGCTAGGGAATTTTCACTTTTCCCCCCCGTGGGGGCTCCCCAAGCTAGGGAATTTTCACTTTTCCCCCCCGTGGGGGCTCCCCAAGCTAGGGAATTTTCACTTTCCCCCCCGTGGGGGCTTCCCAAGCTAGGGAATTTTCACTTTTCCCCGCCGTGACAGCTTCCCAAGCTATGGAATTTTCACTTTTCCCTCCCTTGGAGGCTCTCCAAGCTGCGGAATTTCAAATAGCTAGACAGCGACGCCTAGATAGTCCCCCAAATCCCGTGTTCTTTGAATGTGTTTCCATGTTTTTGCAATGGTTTCCTTCAAAGCACGGTACTTTACACTTTTGTCGCCATAAAACCGGTCGAAAACATCATGTTCGACAATGCTTCCAATTCCCTTATCTCCCCACCCGTTGAAAATACCGCTATTTACAGTGTTTTCTTCAATTTTTCCATGTTCCAATGCCGGTAGCCAACTCCAACATATATATATATATATATAAGAAATCCTTCCAAAACATTGTTTTTGACAGTGTTTTTCCAATGTTTCCAGTCAAACAGACGGTAATTTACACGTTTTTTTGCCATAAAGGCAGTAAATCCTTCCAAAACATTGCTTTTGACAGTGTTTTTGTAATGTTTCCAGTCAAGCATACGGTAATTTACACGTTTTTTGCTATAACGTCAGTCCAAACACTTGTTTTTGCAGTGTTTTCAATGCTCTGGCATCCAAAAACCCTGCAAAATCTTGCTATGTACAATGTTTTTTTCATTTTTGGCCGTTTTTCCATTGCCGGAAAGCTACCAAAATGACCCAAAATTCCATTTCAATACCCTCTTGCGCTCAGACACCCAAAAATCCTCGGAAAATGTCGAAAACACCACCGTATGCTGGTCTCGGTGCGAAACCGTTTTTGGGCCCCCCCACCCCAGCTAAAGCTGATATAGCGACTGCTATATTAACAAATGTCATTGAGCATTTAGTGTTGCTGTTGCCCCCCAATAAGCACGCCTTCACCGCCAAAGCGGTGTGGGCGGATTTACCCAGCCCTTTTTATCCTCATGTTCATCTGGAGCCAGTGCGCCCTTGATGATCCGAACTGTGACTGCTGGGATATCAAAAAACCTGATGGATATGGACACATACTATGGAAACAGGTGTGGAAATACATCGGAACATGTTTTGAAAACGCTTGTGGCTTGTGGAAATACTTTGGAACATTGGGAACATCATGATGGATATGGACACTTGTGGAAATACATTGTAGCACAAGGATATCAGACGAAATCACCCGCGAAGCCCCAGTAACCTGTGAAAATGTCGGGCTCCAGGAGGCGGAATTCATGTTTCCACTGAATTGGCAGCAGCACATCGTGTCCACGGGAGACTTCACAGTGCCTTGATCGGTGAGGCGAGGAACACCAAGCGTTCCCGCCAGTGCGCGTGAAAGGTGAAAATCTGAAGTTCGACCGACCTTTCATAGGTTTACCCTCTGGTAATTTAACATAGCTATTGAAAATTTTCCCATAAAAAATGGTGATTTTCCATAGCTATGTTAAATTACCAGAGGGTACCCTCCGGTCATCAAAGATGGCAATGGAAAAATCACCCAAACATCAATGGATTTCCCCATGAAAGAAGCCTCCATCTACAGGGGATTTCCGGCCAACACGGGTGTGATCGAAAATGGCAGACCCAGGTAAAGCCCTAGAGTCCTAGAGTGGCAATGTCAAGAGAAATGACCGACATTATCCGACATGGCAGATTCATTAATAACAAGATAACAAGTAAATGTGAGGTGGGTTCTATATATATATATACATGTGCGTGTCTGTGTGCCGGAGTCAGCCGGAGTCAGCCGGCAAGTTTTTCCACCCTCCCTCCGGGCACCCTGAATATAATTTGTCATTATCTGATTGGTGGTTTGGAACATTTGGATTATTTTTCCATATATTGGGAATAGTCGTCCCAACTGACTTTCATATTTTTCAGAGGGGTTGAAACCACCAACCAGAGTATCAATTTATTTTCCAGTACTGTTTTTACTTCTATATATCTTCAATAAGGGATAACTCATTGATACTTCATGGAGAGCTATACCAATGAAATCATTATTGTATGTCCGACAAGCTTTCGAGATATCCCAGCAGACACAGCTGCTCGGAGATTGACTGCACCAGCTGTCCAAGATGTCCGGGAGAAAACCTGGTCACCAAATAAGGATATCATGAGATAATACGATATAATCCAGATATGATGATCATGTGGTTTGGTTGATGTTTGCAGGTTATTAGTTATTAACAAGATATAAACCTGAAGATCATGGACTACGTACAACCAGGAGCGGTTTGGCGAAGACGGCTTCGGCGACCAATCAGCCTGCTGGCTGATTGGTAAGGACCGCTAGTTTGCATAAGGTCAGAATCTCCTTGAAACCAGCTAGCATCACCCAAAACAAAACCATCATCCAACCATCATTTTTTTGGAACAAAACCATCCCCAATTCTTGCTGATTCATGCGGCAAACGATAAACCCAAGGCCATAATTGCCATCCCCACTATGACCATAAATGCGTATCAAATCATCCCCAACTGGTAGGTATATTATATGGCCATATGGCATTGGTTTTGCCACATGAAATCATATGAAATCCCCATATAGGTTGCTATTGAAATCCTCAAATTCACCAGAGAGGATGCAGGGCCTCCTGGGCTTAGGTGGAGAGTGATCGTGACGTGGTCGTCAAGTTGAGCGAAAAGGCCTTGGAGAGCAAGATGGAACATCTACGGAGGCACGAGCTCGGAATCCAACCTGAACCATGAGATTTTGCCTCTCTCCCGAGTGAAAAACCCCTACTGGTTGGTTGTCAAGAAAGGGAGCTTAACATGACTCAACCATCACATTATCGCGGTTTTATGGGGGTTTAGTCCTTTAATGCCACATGTAATTAATCACATATAGGTGATTTGGCTCTGAGCGGGGGTTGATTTTATGAATTGACAAATTTGATGTCTGTTTATTTTGTTCGCTGGAGGTGTAAGTAGTAGAAAAGCCTCCCAATGGGATCGAAGTCCAACTGATTTGGTTCAGGGGCTCTGTTTGTTCGGAAAATGTGAGCACTAAGCTTTCCAATTTTGCTACGGTGTAGATGACCCATTTATAGATGATTTAGCTGTGAAAACCTTGAGTTATGAGGGATTTCCCACCATTTCCCCTGGAATTAAGATGATTTACCAATAGAACACCAGAAAGTCTCCAACTTGGAGGTAACTTCATTCCTTTAGAGCCACAGAGGCCCAATGTGATGAGATACCCAGTTAAAACAGAGACGCAAGTCAGGAAATTGCCATGCCCAAGATCTGTCAAACATATCCAAAACTTCCAAAGATTTTTTTGGCGTGGTTTTCCAAACATGATCCAAGATGATTCTTAGATGAATAGATATGAATCCCACCATAAATCATGAAACATCGTCAAAGAAATCCTTAAATTTCCAAAGTCTCAGCCGGGTCTGACGGTCTCACCCCAAGCATCTCATCTATGAAACCATGATAAAACTCTTTTTCCATAAGAAAACCTGCCATTTCAGGTCTGAAAACTGGAGCATGTACCGCTACCTGTTGGCACATCGCCCGCGCTTGCTGGGACAGGCCCGGAATGGAACTGGAATGGGATGGCTGGGATCCGGCCAGGTTTTCAGGAAGAGAAAAATGCCTTCATTTTTTTTGGAGCCCGGAAGCCTTTTTCGGGAGCTCTTAGTTTTATTTTTTGGGATTTATAATGACAATATATAATAACATATAATAACACTATTTATATATATATAATTATATATGTATACGCACGTGTATATATATACATATATATATATATTAGATGAGATTGGATCAAATTCAGGTTAGATTAGAAAATGTATATATAATATACATATGATATTATATATATATATATGTGTGTGTGTGCGTAGATCGATAGATAGATAGGGTCTGGGGCATAACTGGATGGCTTGACGGGTTTTTCACTTTTTCGGACTTGGAGGGATGATTCCTGAAGTTTAGGCGAGATACAATGCAAGATAATATAATATAACATAACAGAACATGATATAGTACATATATATATATATATGTGTGTGTGTGTTCTGTTATGGCATGTTATATTATGTAAATTGCTGGCATAACCAATGTTCCGTTATGTATATATATATATATATATGTATATGTTGATTGTATATAACATACCAATATATATATATATAGAATATTGATATACACAATATACACAAAACATAATAGAATACATATATATATAATATATTATTGATTGTATATTTGTATTGGTATGCCACCAATATATCCCAGCTTCTCCGAGTTTTAGAGTGCAAATGATACAACTCAGATACGCATCCCTTTCTACTGGGGATCATCCCAGAAGATCAGCTGAGGAATCCATGTGCATCCGAAGCAAGGGTCAGAACCGCTAAAAAATCCCAAAATCCATAGGGTTTTCCCTAGTATTCCAGACATAGCTAGTTGATATCCATACTTATGTTGTTATTGTTATTTATCTTAAGACTCGACACGAGAGTTTTCAAATGATCTCGCTATGACCAGCAGACGTGGCCAGGATCAGGTCGAAAGCCGCAGCACGGAGGACTTCCTCCAGCAGTTTGGATTCGAAAGCCTGGAAGCTGCGGTGAAGGATCAGAGTCCCATGCCGGCCATGCTTTGTGCCCTGGATTTTTGGGCGTATCCGTGTGGTTGAACAGGTCCACCATTGATATTTGATGGGAAGATGCTAAATAGCTATTGAAAATGGCCATAGAAATAGTTGATTTACCCATTAATAATTGTGATTTTCCACAGTTATGTTAGTTTACCAGAGGGTATCTGGCATGGTATGACTGGGTGATACTGGGTGTGTCTTGAAAGCAATTCGACTGGTTGGTTTGAAATATGTTTCAAGGCTTCAACACGGAGGTGGGATGATGATCCTTTTTGGCACGGGTTGAATCCACCAGCAGACCATTTGGCGGTTTTCATGGGTTGGTGGTTTCCAACAGTGGCCTTGCCACCACTTCAAGTTGGAGGATTGCTGTGTTGTTTCAACATTTTTTCCCTGCGCGACACCCTCTGGTAATCTAAGATAGCCATGGTAAGTTGCCCTTTTCTTCAAGGAAAATAGTCTACAAACTGGCCATTTTCCATAGCTATGTTGATAAACCCGAGGGTAACCCCATAAGTGCAGGGAGGGTGAGCAAAGTGGTTTGTGTGGGCTCAAGTGAGGGTTTGTGTGGGGGGCATATCACAATAGACGCCAGGCATAATCCAGGTGATAGACGACCCACGGATCATGCCCGGACTCTCTGGTAGTCACTGGTAGTCTAACCTGGCAATGGAGAGTCTGCAGTTCGCCAGTGATAGGATGATGCGGCGCTGTATTCGATGATGTGCCTGCATCTTGAACGTTGGCGTTTGCCGTGGTCATGGCTCACATTGCCAGCTTAGATTCCCATGCCGGTTACAACCTGCGACAAAACCTAGATATGTGAGGTGAGATGACCCACCTATTTACAACTTATAGCATCTGGTAATTTCAGAATATTTCAGATAGCTATGGAAAATCCACCATTTTCTAAAAAAAACGCAGCATTCATACATGGGCCATTTCTACCATAGCATCTATCAAATTACCAGAATGGTATCCAACTCCATTTAAATTGCAAGTATATACCAGAAATATCCAAAAATGATTTATGTACTCCTAGTGCAACTTCACAGACTTGGATGATGGGAAAATTTGCCGGAACCTCTATAATATTGATGGTAACAACCGTTTCCTGTAGATTTTCCCTTAAACTAATCCATTGAAAACTATAATCCAACTAATGATCCTAACCACTGAACTAACTCCATGGGGCCCAGCTTGGCGCCAGGTGCCATTTTCGCGGGCGATGTCAAGATGCTCCAGCGTTTGGTCGAGTCTCGTGCAGATGTGAAGCACGGCGAGCAGCGAGCGGCGAGGGCTTTGCGGATGTCAGGACTTTTTCCTATCTGAAAAAAGTGGATTTGACCAAGGAAAATGGGTAATGGGGATTTGATGCGGATTTAATGGGGATGTATACAATGGGACATATTTAATTATATGATATATTGATACACAATGATATATAATAACGTATAACGGGGTTACAGTGGCAATATCATGGGATTTTTTATGGTGATATCATGGGCTATAAATGGTATGTAATTCGGACATCATTCGCGTTTCATTCGGAGACACCGCGGGGTTCACTGAGCTTCGGGCGTTCGAAACATGCGCAAGTTGGAGGAAAATTTGTATGTTTCCATGTCCATACCCGCTGGTAAACATACAAAAAACTATGGAAAATCACCATTTTCAATGGGAAAATCCACTATAAATGGTGATTTTCCATAGTTATGTTAAATTACCAGAGGGTAACACTCAGGTAAAATGTTGGCGCCATGACTTCCAGATGGTTGTTTGACCTGCGCGAAAAGCACCTGTGATGCTCCAAGAGATTAATGATGCATTCTTGAGAGTTTTCTTTGCACCAACACCGAGGTAAATGACATTGTTCCCAACACAGACGCTCACAGCAATCCATTAATGTTGCAGTCTTCATGGTTAGGGTCCAGTGTGTTTCGTGTGGAATTAGTATGAATTTGTTCGATTGCTCTGTATACTTATTTTATCTTATTTCATTTATCATTTACTGCTGGAAGATATCCGTGTGGTTTTCTTTCAAATAAGGTCGCATTAGCTGTTGGTCGCTGCTGCAAATAATACTCGTGGATTTGTTCTGTCTGACATGTGAATGTAATTTTTATGCACATATGCCATATGCTAATTTTTGTTCTTGCAGATGTTCTTCAAAATGTGAATGTGTTACATCACTTTCAGGTAGCTATTGCAATGCATATAATTACATGTGAATGTCATATGAACCATCCTGTGCATTAATGATGCAATACTTTCGGCTTTTTGTCAGACATATTCTACGGTATCTGCTGGTAGCTACTGCAATACGATGCAATACGTCTGAACTTGTCTTGGCTTCCCTGTGAAGTAGGCATCGTGCGGAAATACCTGTCAACAAGTGTCCTGAAATACGGTTTTCAGGCTTTCAAAAGGAGCTATTTTGTTAAAAAAACGGGTTTCAGTTTCTGTGGCAAAATCCAGTTTCAATTTCACCTCCCGTTTCAATTCCATGTGCATTCCATGCGGTTTGTTCGCTGCATGTTTTTGAAATTTGGGTGAACGTATTTTGCGTTTCTTTTGATTGCCCTGTGATCTACTTGTGATTGTCTTTTGTGTGTCTTGTTCTTTCTGTTCTTCTCTGGTTCGTTTGCATTTCAATTGTTTTTTCCCTCAAACCTATGTAAAATGTTTTTACCAATGTATGTAGTCTTTTAACATGCTTGAAAAAACACATAAGAACAGCACTCGCAAGAAATCATCGGAAATGTACAGCAAGTTCATGATAATCTCATCAGAAATGCTTCGGAATTTCAGAAGAAACGCGTGAGAAATACAAGGAATGCGCGCCTCAAAGGGCTGGGCCATTTGGGCTACTTCGACACACAGACTCCGCCCCTGGACCGGGCTGGGTTGGATTATGCTGGAAAGGGAAGGATTCGGTTCAGTGTGATGCTCCAAAAAAAAGTAAGGATGACAGTAGATCTGTTTTTTCTTGTGAAGGTTGCCCCGCCTCAGGTTTGCTGAACTTGAAACAGGTAGACGTCCAGGCCATGGCATATGCACAGAAATAGCCCGATGTGTTTCATGAATTGGTTCAAGACTGGGTGAGATATGTTGAGATTACCCCCTGGTAAACATACAAAAAGCTATTGAAAATGGCCATTGAAATAGTGGATTTACCCATGAAAAATTGTGATTTTCCATAGCTATGTTAGTTTACCAAAGGGTATGAATCCTTCTGCCAATTTTGCTTGTCTACATATGTCTACATATGTCTATAGTCGGAAATATCACCACCAGACCCTCAACATAGAGCCCGAACATCGCAACATCCAACAGTCCATTCGTCCAACACTTCCTTGAGTTTCCGATGGTTTCATAACCGAGGCTCATCGCAGCCACAAAGTCCAATCAGACGCTCGGACTTCCACTGCCTGCAACAGGCATCAGTCAGCGGCAAGACCGCAAGGCGGTCAACTCCGTTTTTTTTTGACAGAAGGGTCAGGGTCCGGTCAAAAAACATCCATAAATCTGCGTAAATTTCATCACGACCGAACCCTGTTCTCCCGAGCCCTGGAAATCATATAGTCAGGATTCGGGGAATCATCCCCATATCATAGAATTGGATTATGGGAAAATTTACAGGAAAGTCCTATATTTGATGGTAAAAACCATGGTTTCCGGTTAAGATTTTCCCTTAAACCAATCCAGTGACCATAGCTGGCCCAACAATTCAGGTTGGTGAATTATGGCCTTTACCCAGAATGACATGCCTTAGATGGATGAGCCCAGGAAAGGTTCGCTTCTTCAAGCCCTGCATCTCGGTGGAGCTCTGCGGCCTGCGGTGTTATCAAACATGGCCTGGGAAAGCTGCCTGGGAAATTCACCATAAATGGTTATCTAAATGGAGAAAATACGGGAAAATCGAGCGAAATATGGGAACATTCCACATAGTTCCACTACAAATGGATATATGATATATATACCTGGCTCCTGGATGACCTCTAAATCTGAATGCCTTTTCAAAAAACCTGGTTATTATTCAGAAAACCTGGATATTTATAAAAGGGCCGTACTTTCCCGTACTTCTGGAATACCCACATAAACCCACACTTCAGGGAACATGGTGGATTCAAAATGATTCAAACATGTGTGTCATCATCATATTTCCATGTGTACTTGGGCAAAAACTCAGGAGATATTAACCATATGTAATGTTAAGATGAACTCCTACTAACACATAAACCCCAAAAAACTCATTATCCTAACCCTTGGGTCACCACCAGTCTTCACCGAAAGCTGCAAGTCTGCAGCAAACACTTTTTGCTCGGCCCCCTCTGCGTCAAGTTCAATGACAGGGTCCGGGCCTTGGAAAATCCAGCTGCGAGGATGGCCAGGATGATTGCATCAAAATGGTGGGAAACATGCCATGGGGATAACATGGCACTATTTTAATACATTTATAGCGAACACATTTTACTATGGGAGTTGAGCTGGTAGTGATTCCCCAATGAATTACTTTGCTTGAAATATTTGGAAGGGGCTTGCTTTCAAGATGACACCCATCAAATATATAATAGGTCAAAACCAACATGATTGAATGATCCCAAACTTTGCTAGAGATCCAATGGATTAACTTTTTTAGCACAATAAAATGATGAAAGTAGCGCTTGCAATTTTGATGAATCATATTGTTGCAACCAATTGGCTCCACAAATTTGCCTTTCATGCCTGCAGTGCTTTTGTTCATAGCCCATATCTGTAGGGGGCCTACGGTGGCCGGCCATCATGTCTACCTTTAGAGATGTTGAAGGTATCTCGGAGGAGTGGGAGCAGATTGCATCCATCAGGGAACGAGTTAGGGCAACCGATGGATTGTTCATGAACTCCGTTCAGGGCCGCAACTTGGATATCAACATTGTGGGTGCTGAATATCATGATGATGTTCTGATGCCATTGCTTCGCAGACTCGTACACCCAGAGACCAAGGAGGTTGGAATGTGTTCAGTTCCTGCCTTGGAACTTGAGTGCCTTGTTAGGTGATTTGATTCAATTGTATGTTTATAAACATTTTCTTTGTGGATATTGGTGATATTAAGAGGGTCAAACTATTGCTGATGGTTTTATATGTTCTATAACACTCCATGACTCTGATCTTTCCCCATTATTCCACATGAATCCTCCTGTGTCTTGCTATTCGTATTTCAATGGCGCATTAGAAACTTAATAGCCAACGATAGTGAACAAAACCTTTCTAGTGATTTAATGATGTTATCTCCCCCCGATTCACATCACCAGTTCTCTTAGGATTGATGCCCTATTCCGATTGCTTGGCCCATGTGAACCCTGCAAGCGCCAAGTCAAGCTGGACGCATGGCGGGCCAAGAAATTTTGTGTGATGATCAAACGCAAGTGTACCCGGGGGCAATTGTCCCGATCCCGCACTTTTCGCCGTTTGATGGCTTGCCTTACTGGTGAGGACTGGTGCAGTATAAATCTGTATGGTTATCTGTCATGGGACCTTTAACTATTTTTGTTGGGGTGAATATTGGCAGTATATAAACCGTGGATGTAACTCAGCATGCACAACTCTACCACCATTCTGCCACTTAGTTGGCAACCCAGTGAACCCAAACGCCAGGACCCGGACGCTGATGACAATGAGCAGGCCGAAGAGGAGGCATCGCCTTCGAGTCCCGCTGACTCTGGTGGCGTATCTATGTTGGGTGATGGTGATGGTGCTACAGGGGTAGTTCATGTCTCTGATGGAGAAGAAGGTGACGATGGAGATGATGATGATGATGGATCGTATGATGGTGCTACACCACCTTATGAGATGTCTGACTCAGAGCCAGTGCCAGCTACCAATGAAGCTGTCACTGGATCACCGCCGCCCACTCTCAGCCAGCTTTCCTCTGAAGACCCTTGTGACCCAATTCAAGATGCATCGGAAGAAGAAGGATGCATTGTGGAAGCTTCCCAGGCATCCATCGATTTCTTGATTGCAGAGGAGGAGGAGAGTGCCATGGATGAGAAGGACAAGGCACAGTACCGAGAGTTCCTCAACAGTCAAGATTCATCTCTTGTCCCTGATCTTCTTGCCGATGCTGCTGTGGCCGCTGGGGGTTTGGGAGAGAATGTTGAGAAAGAGAAGACGGAGAAGGAAATCGCAGAGGACAAGAAACTTCCTTTGCCCATGGAAGAGATCCCGGTGAAGAGCAAAGATCTTCGCAGCTCATGCAGTTCCAAGGTCGTGGACAATGGTGGGGGGGGCAGCTACCGAAAGGCTCATAGCACAGCAAACCTCAAGATTTCTGCTAGTTCCTCTAGTTTGAAGAGTCGAGCCAAGAATGCACAAAATTTAGCAGAACTAGAACGGGAGCTGTCTCACCTGAAGCGCCTTCAATCTGCGAAGACCCTAGCTGATTCAAATAAGATGAGAATGCTCTTTAATATGTTCAGATTGATTGAAATTGTTTTGAAAGCTCATACACCCAAACATTCCTACACTAAGTTTATGTTCTACGAAATTTGGGTTTTCTTTCAAATCTGAGGAAAGCATTGCAATCTCTCAGTACTTCCAAGCCCATCCTGGTTGAAGAAAGCCTCCCACCGGGTGATGACAACATGGACACCCTTGTCATGCCTGAGAGTGACATGCAGGAGATGGCCGACCGCTTGGCTGCTGAGATTCCAGAGGAGCCGAACTTAGAGCATGGTGAGCCACCTGTGGCTTTGCTTTCCAATTAAGACGGTGGAAGAGATGGTAAGTAAAAAGGAGGAAGGGTGGGGAAACGCATGAATAGTATGCACATTTGCCCTTAACATTCCCAAGCAGTATGCCTTCAATTGCCTATGCCTTTTCACATGCACTTTCCCCCAATACTTTTCCTCATTGTCCCTTAGATTCTCTCCAAAGGTCATCCGTCGCATGCAGTTGGGGCTGAAGAGGGCTACGGCCGATGGAGACGAATGTGATGATGGGCAGAAGCCTGCTGAAGTTCGACGGGGCAGGCCGAAGGCTACAGCCAAGGCGAAGGCCAAGGGGAAGGCAAAAGCTTCTCCCAAGGCCAAGGCCAAAGCCAAGGCCAAAGCATCTGCCAAGGCTAAGGCCAAGGCAAAAGCTTTGGCAAAGGCAGGGGCCATGGCAGAAGCTTCTCCCATGGAAGATGAGACTGAGCAGGCCAATGATCAAGGCCATGGGCACGAAGATGGAGATGAACTCAGGGTGGCTTTGCCAAAGAGGAGAGCCAACAAGAGGAAGGGCGAAGTTGAACCTGTTGGAGAGGAAGCCTGTGAACCCAGTGGTTGCACTGAGAGCCCCAAGGTTCCCAAGGCAAAGGCAAAGGCAAGTGCTTCTGGCAAGAAGAAGGCAAAGCTGGTCGAGAAGAAGGATAAGGACAAGGCCAAGAAAGAGGTGGAGGAAGATAACAAGGAAAAGGACAACGGAAAGATTGAGAAGAACGAGGTGAAGTTGAAGTGCTTTGCCAAGCGCAGGAGACCAACCCGAGACCCCCTCCGATGGGATGCCCTTCGCCATGCTTTCCAGCTTCGGATCAAGCCGCACTTGACCACATACAGCGCCCATGAGGACTGTGCACTGGGTTTTGAGGCTCATATATTTCCTGGTCCCACATCTGCTGATGTGCTTTTATTCCACTATCAAACCACGCTCATATGATGAAATTATGATAATGATATGATATGATGATAATGATATGATGATAATGATATGATATGATTTTTTGACATGAAATGATGATAATGATATGATGCGATGCGGTGATAAACTACGTCCCTGACCACTACTACCCAAACTTATTACTGGTTGATTTGGTTGGCAACCACTTGAATGATTTGCTATGATGCCAGAGTGATTGATTGTTTCTTTAATGAACTTATGAGTTCTGAGGGAAAAAACTGAATGCCTGAAGGAAATCGTGATATATTAAATGATATAAGATGTATCCCATATTCGCCCAGGACTACTTCTGGACATTCGCTACCATGGAGTGGGCCAGCAAGGACATCAATGAGTCCAACGTCTTTGAGGAAGCATCTGCTGCTGCTGATGGTTATGTAGAGCAGCTTCGCAAGACTGGGGTTCTGAAATGAACCGATGGCCTAGGACCTAGGGATATGGATCACTAGTTGGCAGCAGCCAAGGTGCAATGTGGTGCAACCATGGAGGGGCCCTGGTTACCAAACTGTTATTTCCAAATTTATTTCCATATCAACATGGTTTTTTCCGTCTCTGAGGACCTAGACTTTAATATACTTCAATGATTTTTTCTTCCGCATGTATGGACTGGGCCCCTTGGTGCTGATGCCATTTTTGACCGGTTGGGACAAACTTCGCTGGTTTCATTTTGTGGCAATGGCTTTAGAACACATTTCAAGGCTGGCCACTGCCCAAGTAGGATCATCTGCAAATTTATCTAATATCCTGCCACCTAGAGTGATCATGCAGGCTTGGTTTGACTTAGTGCTGGCTAGCTTACCTATCATTTCCCGACCTTTGACCACACTGCTGAGGGGTATATTCTGACCCGTGCCTGTACCCAAAAACAAATTGGAAGGTTTCTGAGTTCATGACATTTATGTGTCTTTGGTTTTGATACCACATATATACATCTATCTCATTCACGTTTATCCCATTTTGGGGGACTTTGGGATGTGTGCATGGTGATGGAACAGCAGTGTGGTATGGGGTCCTTGCTAGCTACGGTGTCATCACAATGCCTGGAGGTGAGCGCTGGAAAATGTAGAGTTTGTGGGATTTCCCAACACCAAATCCCCCTTGGTTCTCAATTTTG